AGAAAGGTTTCATTGTTTTCATCAATACTTAGTAACTCGGGGGTTTAATCAACTTGATCATGAATGCTATTTTTTTTCCCTATAAAAGGACAAAAAGAATGACATTGTTGCGGCCCGGCAGCAGATTCGGACAGTGAGGAGGTTGGGGAGGAAGATGGGCCAGTCCTGGAGTCTGGGGAAGGCTCGGACGAGGGCTCTGTGTCGGAGGCAGAGATGGAGACCAGGCCGTCTGACAGTTATCAGCTGCCTTCGGAGTCGGACATCAGTGGGGCAGAAGAACAGCTGGAGCCTGTTCCCAGTGTGCGCATGCGCAGAGTTGCCAGACGAAGGGAACAACTAAAGAACAGGGGGTGACTTGGGAGTGAGGCCACAGGGGGACAATGAATGGCCCCTCCCAGAGGAAATAAAAGAGGAGCAAAAGGGGAGTGGAGTTTGCAGGAGACCATTAATTCGCTTCATTAGTTCATGATTCTCCGAGACTCCTTGCCAAGTTTTGCAGATATTGGCCTGGCAGCTCTCCAAGTCAGATAAGGTCTGTGACTATAAATCCTCCCTTGAAAAACTTCGCTGAAAGTGAATGAGAATTCAGTGTCAATTAATAAAAGGTTTTTTTGTCTGGACAAGGAGTTTGCTTCATGCTCTCGGGCAGCCTCAGTCAGAACACTTTTATCTCCTTTAGGCTCCTCCGGATCTGGGCATTAGAGCTTGAGAATCCTGTTGCTTTTGCTCCTGTGAAGAACGGTCTCTGCTGCACTTATTTTCCACACGGTGGGATCATCGCAACGGGGTAAGTTCTGGGCGAGAACCGTGTGGACTTTGTTGCAAAGTAGGGGAGAGATTTTAAGTGTATAGAGTGTGCTGAGAGGTCTATGAACCATCTATCTACACCACTTCAGACAAACAGTTATCCAACATCTTCTTTAAAACTTCCAGTGTTGGAGCATTCACAACTTCTGGAGGCAAGTTGTTCCACTGATTAATTGTTCAAACTGTCAGGAAATTCCTCCCGCTTCTCTCCTTGATTAGTTTCCACCCATTGCTTCTTGTCCTGCCCTCAGGTGCTTTGGAGAATAGCTTGACTCCTTCTTCTTTGGGGCAACCCCTGAGATATTGGAAGACTGATATCATGTCTCCCCTAGTCCTTCTTTTCATGATACATATCCAGTTCCTGCACCCGTTCTTCATGTTTCAGCCTCCAGTCCCCTAATCCTCTTGGTTGCTCTTCTCTGCACTCTTTCTAGAGTCTCCACATCTTTTTAATTAATGAACTCAGTTCTGCTCTTCCTGTTGCAGGACCAGAGATGGCCACGCCCAATTTTGGACAGCACCTCAAGCTCTGTCTTCTCTAAAGCACTTGTGCCGGAAAGTTCTCCGCGGCTGCTTCACCAGCTACCAAGTCCAGGCGCTGAGCATCCCCAAGAAGATGAAGGAATTCCTCACCTACAGGACTTTATGACACCGGCCCAAAGGAGGCGCTGCTGTGACTGATCCGTTTCTCGCTTTGCGCTGTGTTGCACACCAAGACAAGACAAAACTCTTTGGGATGCCAAGCAAGGAAGCAACCTCATTTCCTAGCTGAGAAAATGACCCCAAGGATGCTGTTGGCAAATTCTCTTTTTCTGAACTAGCCGCATGGAAGAAATCTTTTGCCATAATTAAAATTGGCCAGTTACCACCACCACTACCACCACCCCAGGCATTCTGGGATGTGGGTCAAACACCCACAGCTGCCCCTCGGACATTTTTTTTAACAAAAAACCAACTCAGGATACAGAACTAAACAATGATAAAGAGTATCATTATTGAATCAGCTAGCGGCAACTTTTTTGGTCATTCCGGAGTGATTTTGGCTCCTGTTTATCCACTGTCTAGGAAAAAAAATCAGGTTTGGATCTTCTCCATGAATGCAAATGTGGAATTGGAAATCTTTCCTGCAACAATGGGCCATTGGATGAAGCTTATGCCGTTTACAGGGAGATGGGAAATCAAAGCTGTGCTTTATTATTATTTTTTGCCTGGCTTGAACGGGGAAACGCTTTGTCAGTAAAATAAGCAAAGAGGTACATATCAAGATTAATGATCTCAGAGCAGTTTGGGGTCCCCCCCGTTCCCCCCCCCTGAAGATCAGAGAGCAAAACGACCAATGATGGATAAGCAACGAGAAGTTTCTTGTGTTTGGAACAGAAACACAAAACCGAACAAAAGTGTGGTGATATTTCGGAGGACTAAGGAATTCCCTAAGTGAGGGAATACGTGCAAATTGCACCATGAAAGAGTTTAATAAGCGGACGTCTTGTGAAATTGGGAGACAGGATGAGAAGAATCTTACGGCCGATAGAAATCAAAGAGAGTTTATTCTGCTCAGATGGTTGTAAATTATCATGGTCGGAGCCTGATGGGGGATCTGAATTATCTACCAGATGTTGGGCAAGAGGATCGTGTCCTGCTTATTATAAGGAACTTCCTAAATCTAAATCTAGGAATTTCCTTATAAGAGTTGTCAGCCAGTGGAATAGTGGGGTGGGGGGGACGGGACAGCTGCTCCTTCCTAGTCACTCGAGGTCTTTAAGTTCAGAATTCAGCAGCAGTTGGACTAAACAATCTCTGAGGTCCCTTCCAGCTACACGATTGTATGATACTTTCATATAAATGAATTTATTTTGAACAAGATTGGGGAGGAGGGTCAGGGTGGAGCTTCCCGAAGTGCTGATGTGAATGTATTTCGAGACATTTTGAACCAATTATATGATTCCAGAGACATAATAAATGAGAACCCTCGCTCTGAAGCATCTTGAAGATCATTTCTTGTCAATGCAGACTGGCAATGATTCTGTCCAGATTGGTTAAGGAGGACCATGCGAGATCCTAAGAAGCACTGAGAATGATCAGGCTTGTAGGACGCCCAGAACTACAAGGTTTTGATGGGAAGGGTCCAGATGAGTTCTAAGGACAACCCTTAGGTACACGGGTTGTAGTTCAGGCCGTGGGAGAGTAGCTTGGTCCTCAAGCCTCAGCTACAATCAGATCTCTGGTGACCTGGAAGGCAGCTACAAGAGACCCCAGTTGGATCTTCTCATTTGTCCCTGTGGCCAAGCGGTGTCTGAAAGACAATGGAACAGGAGGTGATCGATTTTGCGCAGAACTTTTTCTAAAGAAACCTATTTAGCTTGCAAAGAATATCCTACAACCGAGTTGGCGAACCTCTTCGGCATCGAGTGCCGAAATGGGAGTGCGCGCTGCTCTTCCGGTTTCCTGGTCTTCCGGTTTCCAGCACTCCCGCACACGTGAAGACCAGCTGACCAACCGGAACCCGAAAGAGCAACAGGCGGCGGCTTGCGTGCCTGGAGAGATGGCTCCGCATGCCACTTCCGGCACGCGTGTCCCATAGGTTTGCCATCACGGTCCTACAATGTTAAAATTCTTCAAGTGGGCGTGAAATGTGGTAAGGCAAGTTACACAGCGAGCTTAGAGCCTGTGCAATTCTGTGATGTTGGCATTCTGCGCTTCCTGAATAAAGAAAATTCAGCTTTGTGTAGGGAAGCAAGCTTCTAGTTCTCATAGTTGCAGGCTGGATGAACCTTGGCAACTGTAAGGCTCGAGGACTTCAACTCCCAGAATTCCCCAGCCACCACCATAGGGTCGTGCATAGAGCAACTTGACACAAAATCAGTGCTTCCCCAGTTGTCCCCTTCATATTCTCAACACTGCACAGGTAAAATTCACACGTGCATTTTTTACTAGGAGTTGGAAGTCAGCGCACCAATAAAATCTTAGCCTGTGTCCACATTATCCTAAATATGTGAAAAACAATTGTGCATTGAGGAATACTCACTCCACATCTGCCATCTTGATCAGCAGCTGGATCCGAACAGATGTTGGGAAATCAACTGTAGGATGAGAGAGCACAGGCAGCCTTTTACAAAAACGATTCCCCTTCATTGTACCTTAAAATAGCCATATCAATAGCACTGGGTAGTTTACAGGGTTCCACCACAATACCGCGAAGCCCTTATCCGCAGAGACATAAGCGCGAGTGCTAATCCGCGCCGTCCGAATCGCTAAAGCAAATGCGACCTTACCGCGCTGACATAAGGGCGGAGGGCAAATCCGCGCCTTCCAAAGCACTCAGCCTAACCTAACCCTAAACCTAACCCTAAAGCAAACCCCTAAACCTAATCCTTACCTTAATTTAAATCGGCTTTCTGCCACTATGCTGTTTTAAAGCGCCCTTCTGTCGCCGCGCTGTTGTCGCGGCGGTGATGACGCACGGTGATGACGTCGCGGCTTTAGCGACGCGGTTTTATCACCACTATTTTGACGAGTGCGGTTTTG